TTTTTTTAGTTTTACCTTTGACATTATTTTAACTTTGGTTTTGAAAATCTTAAAAGGCCTCTGCTCTAAATTATTCTATGTTTATTATCCCGGCAGAGTTGAGATGTTTAGAGAGTTTATCAAGATGGACAAAGCCTCTAGAAAAATGGCTGGTGAAGTTGCTGGACCTGGTTCACGATCAGTTGAAATAGTAGTTCGCCGGGGTCATATTGTTGAAGATGGATTTCGGCAATTAAATTCCCTGGGTTCAAGGTTAAAATCATCAATCCATGTTTCATTTGTCAGTGAATGTGGCCTTCCGGAGGCTGGCCTGGACTATGGTGGATTATCCAAAGAGTTTTTGACTGATATATCAAAAGCAGCCTTTTCTCCCGAGTAAGTTTCAGAGTTTGTAAAGATAAAAAGCAATTACAAATTTGGCTTTCTGACATAGTAGCATATTTTTAAGTCAGTTTTCTAACCTCATCTTTCCAAATTGCAGTTATGGGCTATTCTCCCAAACCTCAACATCAGACGGACTTCTAATCCCTAACATGTCTGCAAGGTTCCTAGAGAATGGTATCCAGATGATTGAATTCCTTGGAAGAGTTGTTGGCAAAGCTCTTTATGAAGGAATTTTGCTAGACTACTCCTTTTCACATGTTTTTGTACAAAAGCTGTTAGGTCGGTATAGCTTTCTTGATGAATTGTCAACACTGGATCCAGAGCTTTACAAGAATCTCATATACGTGAAGGTGAACATTGTTTTTGTTGTTTGTCTTTGTTTCCTTTCTCATTTACTTTCTCAACCATCGGTCAATATTTTGATGATAATTTAACTAAATTGAATTCATGTAATACGTTTTGAGATAAAATAGTGAGATTCTTCAGGATTTATCGTAGACGATTTAAGAGATAAAACTTGGATGCGAAGGTAAGGAACTAATGTGCCTTGGCCTTTAAGGGGATATATGAAAATTATCCAACAGAAAAAGGCTACATGATGCCAGGACTACTAATTGTATACTTCAGAGGGTCCATATGGTTGCATTGCAACCCAAACTATTTGAAATAAGATGTTTTTGGTTGCTTTGTCTGAACTCTTTGAGATAAAAGCAATGGGTATCTGGTATCTGGAAGCCCCCATTCTGAATTAAGTTGTATTAAAATGCTTCGCCACGTATTTTATTTCTTGAAAGATTTTGATCTTTAGTTGTGTGGTTATTGCAGCACTATGATGGTGATGTGGAGGAACTCTCTCTTGATTTTACAGTAACTGAAGAATCATTGGGGAAACGGCGTATCATTGAGCTTAAGCCTGGTGGAAAGGATGTTACTGTGACAAACAAGAACAGAATGCAGTACATTCATGGAATTGCTGATTATAAGCTTAACCGACAGGTTTATATTTCATTCTGGTTCAACTAATGAATATATATCTTTTGAAGATTTTTGAAAGAATTATTATTACAATATTGGTGAGAAAAATTACCTCATTTTATGTTGAATTGCAGATTTTTCCTTTCTCAAATGCGTTCTATAGAGGGTTAGCTGATGTCATATCACCATCCTGGCTAAAACTATTTAATGCAGGTGAATTTAATCAGGTAAGTCCCTGAATGCATGGGTCTGCTTGTAATTCTAGTGAATGTTAATGTATGACCGCTTGGTGCATTTTTTTATGGACGAATTCATATAAGATATGCATCTCTCGTAACCTAATGTGCCAATTAGTCTTATGCTTAATATATTGATCATCTTAAACTTTTAAGATCAAGTAGTAGTCCCTTTTTTCTTTCATTCCAAAGTAGAAAAGTAAAAAACATAAATAAGCACTATCATTCTTTCTTGGTTGTACTTTGTTCTGTCTTTGGTTTAGGTAGCTGACTGATAAGGTGACAATTTGGAAAGAATATCAATATGAATGGCTTTAAAAAGAATAGCAGAATTGTTCCTTACTTGCACCGAAATTGCAGGGGAAAAAAGTTTTATTTGTTGATCAATTGGGAAAAGGGGGATTCGAACTTATGACCTCTTCCAACATTGGGAAGAGAAACCAATAACCAAGAGCTAGTTGGTAAGAAGAAAAATGTTGAAATCTAACAATAGGGACCAGGGGAATTAAAATATAAGAGTCGCTTTAACTAAAGGATCCTTGTATGGAGCTATTTTATCCTCAGATTTTCTGGGTGGGCGCAAAATTTTCTACTTTAATCTTTTCACCATCTAAATTTGTTCATAGTGACAGTAATTGTTCATTACGGTCCAGTATTTGGTCCTCAAAATTACATTTCCTTTTAAGGTTTCTGAGCTTTCATGCGCATGAGTCCAATTGGTGTCAAAGACTGATCTATAATTACTATATGCAGTTGCTTTCGGGTGGAAACCATGACATTGACGTTGATGATTTAAGGAAGAACACAAAGTATACTGGTGGTTACTCTGAGGGGAGCCGGACGATTAAAATCTTTTGGGAGGTATTGACTCATCTTTAGAGGTTGAATGAGCCTATATAAATTTGTAGAATTAGGTTTTCCTATTTGAAGAAAGTACACTTGTGGTTTCTCCAAAATGATTCTTGTAAAGTATACATTCCCTTTTTTTTTTCCTCACTGAATCACTATGGAGTTCCATATTTATGGCCTATTATCTGTTACACATTCAAGAGCCCATATGCTCATATAAACATATTATGCTCTCTTTCTCTTCCCAACATCTGAGTGCGCTGATTCATGTCTGACTATCAGAAGAGAAGCAATCTAACTTTCATCGTTATCTGATTTTTAAATGATGAGCAGTCCTACTATTTGTTTGTCATATTTTATTGTGGTATATGTATTGTATCTTATCTTATACGTGCCCATTTTTTCCTTGGGATGCTTACAATCCTTTTATGTTTTATTGAGTTTCTTCATACCATTATCACAGGTAATGGAAGGATTTGAACCTAAAGAACGTTGTATGCTTCTGAAATTTGTAACCAGTTGTTCTCGAGCTCCATTACTTGGATTCAAACACCTGCAGCCTACTTTCACAATTCATAAGGTATCTTAATTGATCATCTACACCTATGTATGAAGTATATACAATCAATTTATCAAACTAACTCAAAAGTTTGTTCTTATATAGGTTGCATGTGATATCCCTCTTTGGGCAACAATGAGAGGACAGGATGTTGAGCGGCTTCCATCAGCCTCGACTTGCTACAATACTCTGAAGGTACAATAAAGGGAGAAATACCCCCTATCCCCGTATAATTTATCAATAAACATTTCAAAAAACAGTTCAGATATGCGACCGGACTACCACTTATATCTGCAGGCCAATTACGCTCATTTCTTTTTGGCTACAAATAACGCTTGTTTTTTCATTCAATGTGATGCCTGCAGCTTCCAACTTACAAACGTCCAAGCATTTTGAGAGACAAACTTCTATATGCAATCAGTTCCAATGCAGGATTTGAACTTTCTTGAGGTTCCCCTTCAGGTAATACTTTTTTTGTCTTGCCTTACTGAACCCTTAATCCTATCTTGTATGTTGCGAAATTTAAACTAACCGAAATTAGTCCAACTTAGTTCCAAATTTTATGCTCGCAAGCGTACGAATCGTTCGATGGTATAGAAAGCAAGCCCTTAATATCGTCCCACAGAAATTAATCTAATTCTAAACAACTAACTTAAATCCAATTGCAACGTAGTGAAATTTAACAAAGATTGATAAATAATGATGGTTTTGAGAGTTGATACTAAAAGTAAAACAAAACAAATGAAAACAAGAACGTATGATCACAACAATGTTTTAAAAGGCTTGCCTCAGAGCGCGCCTAGGCACCTTGTGAGGCTGGGCTTGAGGGTTGCCGCCTCTGTTTTGAGGGAGTGGGCGGAAGGTGCCGCCGGAGCCGCCTAGGCGCGCCTCAGGGGATTTTTTTTATTTTTTTTAATTTTTTTTAATTTTTTATACTCCCAAACCCAAATTTTGGGTAGGGTTTTAACTGCCTCATACCTCTTCCTTGCACTATCATCCCTCTGCCTTTTTTTTTTTGTTTTTTTTTTTTATATAATGGATGTGTGTGCTGTCTGCGTACATTGTTATATGTGGGCTCATTGTGCTTTTCATACTCTATTTTATATATATATATATATATATAATATAATATATATATATATATAATATAATATATGTATATATATGTGTGTCTATGTATTTATAATACATGTGTGTGCTCAAGGTGATTATTGATTAATAATCTTCTTCTTTTTTTAATATAATATATGTGTACGCTCAATGTATATATTAAAAAATTTAGGTCCCGTGAGGCTTCGCCTCACGCCTAGGCTGTGCTATCCCTCTGACGCCTCGCCCATGCCTCATGCTTTTAATTCATTGGATCACAATACAAAAAGTGGCAGCCAAGAAAACAAGTTATAATTCAATCGAGTAAAACACTAGAGCGTCCGACTCACCATAACCAATCCTACTTATTTCTTGCAACGAATTACTAACAAGTACTCAATCTCATTGATAGTCAAATTTCCCTAATTCATGTAATATCTATGGCATCTAGACTATTATGTATATTCCACTATGCAACCATCCATGACATCTAGATTAGTTTAACATATGAAACTCATTACGATTAGTGGAAATTTATATAAAGACTACACAAATCCTAGAGTATGGCATCTACTACTAGGTAATTTATGGTATATATTTGCAAGAAGCTATCGCTCAAGTTGAAAACATGACATCTGTTCAACTTGCATCAAATTTACTAAGAAAAAGTCAAGATGGTAAGCACAGCAAACGATACTCAATGAAAATTGAAAACTTGAAAATAATTCAATTCAGAATTTGAGCATTCATAGTCATGGCTACATCGTAGCCCTAGCTAAAAGAAATTAGTTTCGAAACATAACTGGAAATATTATTGAATTCATAAAAAAAATTAAACGAAAAATAAGTTCAGAAAAAGCCTGAAAATCCCCCTTCTCTGCCGATGCCTTCTTCAATGATAACCCTCCTTTTTTTTTTTTGCTTCTTCGCTCCCTTATTCCTTTCCTTTTCCCCTTTTACGTTTCCGTAACCAACGAAAGATTAACCCCAATTGATTGCTGACAGTAAAAGAGAGGAAACGGTAGAAGTCTTCAATTATGTGCTGGCCACTCTTTGGTACATTAAGGCACCCAAATGAATTCTGCATCTGTTAACATTAAGTTCTGCTTTTGATCTCCTTGCTGCCGTTTCTCCTTTGTTTCAATAACTCTTTCATTGCCATCAATAAATCCATTTATGCAACAGCCAAGTCTCTCTCTTTGATGCCTTCACTCCAAAACCCATAATAAAAGAGAACACATACCACAAGAGAATCAAACAAAGTAGGAGCAAGAAAATATGGGAATAACATTCCTCTGCTTTCCTTTTCCGTTCTCCCCCAACTGTGCAACTGCAATTTCACCAACTCAATCGCTGCCTCTTTGATGTGATCTCCCATTTTTCTGATTTTGTAGCAGTCAATTCCCCGCTTTTCTTTGAGATAGTGAGTCGGTTCCTCCTGGAAAATGGTAAAAGTCGCAAGCCATTCAATCATCTTTTGAGACAGATCAAATTGAAGTTTGATGCCCTTTAGGTATTGAAGTGGCCACATGGAAGCAAAACAAAATGGTCCAAAGGATAGAAATATTGCCAGCTTTTACCATGTAGACCCTACATAAAAATTATGAGAATAAGATGACTTAGATAATGCCTACACATGAATCCAAAAGAACGAAAGCTCCAGCAACTTCCACTTTGACTAGAAATTAAACAAAAAATCTTAGGAATGTTGCCTTATTATTAATCTAGTCATAAAGGCACAAATCTCTGAAATTCCTTTCATTTTCGTCCAACTTATCATAAGAAAATGTAATCTTTGTAGCAAATAAATAGTAAATATGTGATCATCATTGTACTAACAGTATTGCTCACCAGTTACATACTAAAATTAGGTGAATTTTGATTGTCCTTGATTGTACGGATTTTGAAAGCCGTAAAACTATTACAGATAGGTCATACTGAACAATGGAAAAGAATAACCCATAGCCTCATATTCTTGTCCACATTAGTCATTCCGGACAGAAGATAGAAGTTATTAGAAAGGGAAGAAAAATACTTTAAATTATCTAATAAGATGGTAATTTCACGCACTGATTGCCTTAAAAGTTTTCATTTTTCCTTTTCATGTATAAAAATGATTTGGCAAATCACTGAGAAAGCATCAGTTACATAGCTTCAGGTTCATGCATGGGATTTACTTTCACTAACTTAGAGCCCATTTACAGATCCGGGTCATGACCTTATTAGCACTAAGGATCAAAACACCTGAAATTTCGCAGAGGACATCATCTGTCACTCTTACATGAAAAGCAAAGGACGAAGTACTAAAATATTATCATATAACATATCTAAAAGATAAAGAGAGTGCAGTAGTATTAGATTATGCCGCTTTGGAAATAGATTCAAGATATGAGGTCACAACCCTGTTGAAGTAGATCTCTAGCTAAGACCCGTTGGCGGCTTCAGAGGGATGGAATCCATCCCAAAACACATAACCAGTTGCATTGGTACATGTTCCTACGGACCTAGAGTTGCAAAGCACAGAGGTCTTTAATATACCTGTTCCACAACAAGCTCTTCTCGACTCAAAGAACCCTGTCGCATGAATACATCACAGAAGTATTAGAAATTCACTACTCTTAGCATCAAACAGATTTTTTACTGTATTCATGTAGCAGTCTTGTTTTGTGAATGCTGAATGATGTATGTTAAGTTAAAGAGGGAATGGATTTGTGATAGAGGAAATATATTTTACAAGACTTCAAAGAGGAGGCTGAGATTTTTCCCTTCGTTGTTAATACATTTGCTATCTAGAACTACCTTTGTTCTTAAGCAACAATTTAGGTGGGAGGGGAGAGGACTTTGTCTTCAGTAAAATGTCAAAAATTAAACATTGATTAACATACTTAAATTTTTCTTGACAATGAAATTTTGTAACTAGTATAGTTTTTATTTTATTGATTGGTTGTCGAAAAAAAAAAACGAGAATTCTTTTATGTAACTAATATGGTTTTTATTTTATTGAACGGTTAACTATTCAACAGTGAGGTTCCTTACCATTATCACCAGGATTCGCAATTATATCCAGAAGAGGCTGGAAGATATTGAAGACCACAAGCTTGAGGCATGGAAGCCTGTTCTTCAAATCTTGAGATGTGTTGTTTAGCTTATTGTTGAAAAAAATGGCATCTTGGTTTAACCTTGGGATGCACTCGTTAGTTCAGGAGCCAAACAGGGTGATTGCTGCTGGCCAACACCCGGTTGGTGGTAAGTTTGTGACTCCAACATTTCGTGCCTCGAGTGCATACAAATTCTGTCAGTGTGCTGCATATGTCATGAGTGTATTTGAAGAAACAGAGACTGATGTACAATTTGCTATATGAAACATAATTGGATTCGGTTCTGATGCAAATCTAAATCTATACGATCACTATGCACTTAAATCAGTTCTGTTTCACGTACATTTAGATGTGGTCAGCAAACATCATTGAGTAATGTGATTATTTCTTTTTTTGGGGATCATGGACAAAACGAGTAGCTAGATAGATATAGCAAAGATCTGACCAGGTTTGATACTGACTGTTATGTGAAAATAGTATTGATGTTTTATTTAGAAAAAGCACTTCTATGGGAAGTTGCAGAAGTCTAGAAAAAGCACTTCTCCTTCGAATAAAGAAGAGAGTAAATAGTATGAATAATCTGAGTGTGGAGTGACCTGAATGAAAGTGGAATATGATCTAATGAGAAAGTTTGAGAGTTGGAAGAACATACATATATACCGGGGTGTATATATCCCCCCCCTTCTTTCTATCTCGCCCTCTCCTTCCTTCTCGTGTGATCACATGAAGAGAGAGAGGAAGAAGAGGTATACACCTCATTTAATAGAAGTTGCTCTCGAGTTTGAAAAACGGTACAAAGCTGCCATTTTCTGGTAAGGAAATATGTTTAGAGGTTATGCAATTTGTCCTATTTGTTAGCTTGTTGCAGCGAAAGAGCTATGGCTTGGTCCAATTTGTGGGTTTGTTTCGAGGAGGGACAAATGATTTGGTTGAAGCATAAAAAAAACTTAAGAAATCTTAAGGAAAAAGATTATCGAGAGAATATAATTTCGGTTGTTATTTTTAAAGGATTTTACCCTCTCAAAATTATCAAGAGATTTTTTAATGCTCAAAACACAAATTGTTATTTGTCATAACATAAGTGGATACACGCTAAAAATATATTGTACAATGAAGTAAAATAGTACAATGAAGTGATATAATTTGCAATGTTTCTTTATTGAAAAGCAGCTCATGGACTAAATGGACCTTGTCATGGAATGGCATTGCAATATCAAATAACAATGATCATATATTTTTATTTTAATCTCAACCAACCTTTTTTCTTTTCCAGTGTCTTCGCTAGTTGCAGCCTGTAACCTACAAACGCCCAATAACTTTGAGAGAAAATGTCTGTAGGGAATCCCCTTCAGACGTGGATTTTAAACTTTCATATTTGAAGGGGTTCCATACAGACATTAGTCGTTCATGGTATTCGGGTTAAACCAAGGTACTCTAATTCTCTAAAAGTATGTGATTTCCACCTGTTGTTTTACTTATAATTAATAATTGTTTTTCCTTCTCATTTCTTAAATATTTGTATAGAATATTTGGTTATTGAGATCTAAAGCAGCTTTTAGAAGGATTCCATTTGAATCATAGATAATCAGCCATTCAGTTCAATTTACTAGTTACTGATTTCAGTTCAAGGAGGAATTGGCTTTATTTGAGACATCTTTTTTGTGAATTTAAGATCAACTATTGTGTGTTCATGCCACTGTTCTAAAAATCTCCGTCTAGGTCCCACCTACATACTAGGCAAGCCACGGCCCCTATTAGTCTTTAGGCGTTTGAAAATTAAGAAAATGCGCCTAGACTCGCTTAGGTGTCCATCTAGCACGCATAGGCGCCCGTCTAGCCCCCTTAAACCCGCCTAGGTCTCAACTTTCATTTAGACAGGAAGTTAATAACTTTCATATTGTATTTTAATTTTTCAATAAAATGTAAGAGACTTGTTGAATCCTTGGACAAACACTCATTATATGTTTATTCCTCATGTTTTCAATATGTTCTAATACTTCATAATTTATGTCATTTTATTTTAAAATTTATATATCTCAATATAATTATGTGTGTTTTTTTAAGTATAAATAGACACTTATTTATACAATATATAATAAATTACTTATATTCGCCTAGTCTGCCTAAACCCCACCTAGTTATCTAGGCATTAGGTCCCAACCTGCCATCCGACTAGCACTAACTTCTTTTAGAACCTTGGTTCATGCACTTGAGCAAGATCTCCTTGCACTGTGATGCTTCTCTGCATAATCTGAAACAGAATGTCTTCCAAAACACTTGACTTGGTCATGCGTTTCTTTTTCATCCAGTCTTCCTCTTCCTTTCTCATTCCTTTCCACTCATCTTTTAAGCCTGCAAAATAACTTTCGTCTTTTCGAACGCTCCTGATTACTCCTCACATTTCCAAAGCAAGGCTTATTGTGCTCCACAACCATGCTAGTCAATTCATGCTCCATCCCACAATTTCCAGCTTCTGAGCTTCCTTCAAAATCTGTTTCCAGATTATTATCCTGCTCTTGAGCCTGTTATTCTTCTCGTGCTTGATTTCTCATCAACTCGTGCCTTAAGCATGTATTGATCCCTCAAGTAAATCAGTTTGTTAATTTCAGATGCACGATCCTTTTTCAGATTCTCTAACTCCTTTTCGAGGCCTGTAGTGTGTAGTCCTCGATTTGGATCCCTTTTTCAATCTGCATACAATATGGTTAGACTATCATTGTGATCTCTAATGCATTTTTTTTCTAATACAGTGACTTCTATTACTTAATAGAAGAGTGATTTCACCTTGGAGACTGAAGAAGCCGATTTTTCTGCCAACCCAAGCTTTGCCAAGAGCCCCTTTTTCTCATCCTGCAGTTGCTCCAAAAGCGCTCTCAACTCCCCAGTTTCTTGATAACCCTTGTCTTTGTTTCTAGTGCGCCATGGATTCCCAAAAGTTCTGCTTCCCTAGCATCAAGCTTCAAGTCTTGTTCGTGTATTAGGCAAGATTGCCGTTTTACTTTCCTCAAAAGTTTCTTTACCTTCCTCAAAAGTTTCTTTACCTTCCTCCGAAGCAATCCATTTTCTGATTTGCAATACTCCATTTGCTCCAAGTTCTCAAACATCCTCCAACGAATTTCTCAAGCCCTTGGTTCTCACTTCTCAACCTCCATGGATGAAGCTTCAGTTGAATATCAGAGTGCGCAACGAACAAGACTAGCAAGAATAATAAGAATATTATTAATAGAGAAGAATGCCGGAACGGCTACAAAACCCTAAGGGTGTGTTTGTTTGGACTCACTATCTTTCACTGGACTAGACTGGACTAAGCTTTAGTCCAGTTTTGTGTTTGTTCCCTACCCGGACTAAGTTTAGTGGGATTAGCAGGGACTCGCCTCGACTGAGTCCCTCGCTAACAGGTCTTAGTGAGACCCTCCGATTCAGAGAGGACTGCCAAGCCGCCCTCTAATCCCGTCATCTCCCTTCTCCTTCGCACCTTCGCACCTTCGCACATCAACCGCTCATTTGCACCTTCGCACCTTCGCACATCAATCGTTGCAACTGCATCTTGCTCCTCGTCCAGTCGCACCTTCGCCCTTTCCCTTCTCCTTCCTTGTCTCACCACCTGGTAGCCGTCCGACATATAAACAATCGATGACGGACCTGTATCTCTGGCGATGGTCTTCGTTTGGTGCTTTCTGCTGCGTCGTGAAATCGGAGTCCCAACAACAGAAGGAAAAGAAGACGAACAAGTCTGCGTTGGATTTGGGGGCCCTAGCTTTCTGATTTCTAAATTCGTTTGGATTTTCTGGTCTTTCATGTCGATCTCTGTTGAATTGTAGTTGGGTAGAGATGCTTGACAGACTCAGAGGTGTTTGAACTTTCTTAATTTTCATTTGCTGGGTTGGATTGCTTTCTTAGTTTGTGTAATTGGGGTTGGGTTTTTAAGATGGTGCAAGAATCTTTCAGTGGAAATTATTATCCCCGTGTTTTTTGTTGTTGTTCATGGTTTGCTCAATCGATTGGGTATTTTGTGTTTAGAGATTTTGGATTAAGCAAATTGGTTGAACTTGTCAGTCTTGCTTATATTTGATTGCATTTAGTATCGCCTGCATCTCATGAATCACTGAATTTTGCAGGGACATTGTTCTGTAGCTCTATGAGAGGTACAATTGCTTGTGTATGATTCTTAGAATTGATGCTCTGTATGTATTTTTAGAATCTTAGAATTGATTTAAATTCCAATGATGTAGGTAGTTGTGAAGTGGGTTAATTTAATGGTTGAATTGGTGGCGGTGGTGGGTGCGGTATTATGTTTACCATTTCGTTATTTGAACTTGGTTTTTGATGGATATGAGGATAACTATTACGACCTGTCTTACTTGCATCTAGATGCAATGGGGTGAATTAGTGATCGACTATCTGATCTTTTAGAGCAATAAAAGTCTGGGTTTTTACCATATGATTTATTTTGTTTACCATTTCAATAATTTATTTTGTTTGCTTAGGATTATTAACTTTTCAATTGTATCTTTTTGGAAGTAAGTCTACAATCTATGATGCAAATATTTAACGTTAATGATATTCTGTGATTAGTAAGTTAAAATCACCATCTTTCGACTGAGATTGCAGTTTGAACGATTAGTTCATTCTCATTTGTGATTTCTTGCTCCTGTTGTGTCTAATATGTGGTCGTCTGTGTGAATATGTATTGCTGTTGTATCTTTTTGGAGTTGTTTGCCCATGGTATCTGATGTCCAGATTTATTATCTGTGGCTGGACATTTCGTTTAACAGGGCGTACATAGAAGTTTACAGGTCTTTGCGACACAGTTAGCTTTTATTCTCAACAGCTTTCTGTTTCATTAACCTGCAAACATTTACTTTGTGCTACATTGTTTATTAGTCAGTTATTTTTATTGCCGTGGTTGCATTAGTATAACTTTAGTGTTCATAAATGACACTCAAAATATTATCTACCAAATTATTGTTCATTGCTCATGTGAGTTGCCATTTGTATCTAGAAGTCTACATGAGCATCTCTTTATGGTTCCCTTTGTATTGCACACTGACTGCCCATAAAAGTTTGATCTTCCAGCTCCATTTGTATTGCACACTGAGGGACCAGAGACAATTGTTGCATTCTATTTATGATGATGTAATCTGTGCATTTGGAACGATGTAATCTATGCATTTGAAAGGCTTGGCTACATGTATAGGTGTGACAAATACAACATTAAACCAGACCTTGTATCTGTGGGAAAGGCTCTTCTTCTGAATATATGCCAATCAGCATTCTTGTGAGCCCAGAAGTTTCAGATGTCATACACTCTCAGAGCAGCAAGCTTGGTTCTTTTTCTCATGGGTTTACATATTCTGGACACCCCATAGCCTGTGCAGTTGCAATTGAAGCACACAAGATCTACATAAGTAGTTGAAGGGCACTGAAGAATATGCGAAGGAACTCAAGTTTAAGCACAAGTAGTTGCAACTTGTAAATGTATTGATGGCTGATGGTGAAAAAAAATATGTAGACTTTCATGTAAAGCAAAATCCTTTCCCCATTTTGTTTATGAGATGAATAATATTTTCAATAAAGCATCTTTTATCTCTTAAAAAAAAATTAGACAAGAAAGTGGAAGTTTTCATAATTAAATATAAAAAAAAATAAAAAATAAAAATTTAGTCATGGCTAGTCCGGCCATGCACCAAACACTTCACAATTCTAGTACTGCTTAGTCCAGGCCAAGCTAATCCAGCTTAGTCCCTGAAGCTAGTCCAGTCCGAGTTAGTCCAGTGCAACAAACGCACCCTAAATGACTACATTGTGACTAGCTTGATATACTACGAGCTACAAAACATCATATATATAGAAAACTAACCTAACCCTAATAAGCAAGAAAATGAAACCTTTAACTAACAGGCTAAGCCCAAATTCAAACAATAAAATAATCTTAAACTCCAACAGCTTCTCTCTCCAAGAACTCAACACGAGCCACTAACAATAGCAACATATTTGAAACCTCCATAAGAACAGATTCTTGCTCTTTCAAGTCACAGTAGCGTATAAACTGCAACTCTAACTCAGATTCTCTTTTCTGAAGCTCATCAAGTCGGATTCTCAGGCGCGAAATCTCTTCTTCCAATTTTCGTTTATTATCTTGGATCTCTAAGCATTCCGTTGAATGCATACAAGTAGAGCTGAAACTATGTAAACCATCCTCGTATCTAAACTTGGGAGAATTGGTCTCTAGGGAACACACCTGATCATCAGTTTCTAATGAAGACCCTTTCGGATTAACACTTGGATTAGCCACAATCTTGGCACAGATGAAACCAGCCACTGACAAAGCTAAAGGAATCCCAGCTTTAAGAAGCACTGGCTTTATGATGATATCTGCCTTCGACGTTGAGCTCTCCATCTTACAAAACCAATTTGATGTTTGTGATAGGCTGTTGGATGATCTATTCCGATCCCGATATGAAATTACAACGAAAACTTGATTAGTTTCTTGAATGTTAAGGCGTTGCTTCTTGTGTTTTGGTTTAGCTTTCCGTAAAGAGAGGTGGATGGGGGTGTTCGCGTCAGGAATTTCCGTCGGGGATGTTTCCTGGTCGACGAGCACACAGCTCCCCGGGAGGTTGGCGCCGGTTGAGGGCTGCTGTCGGGCTTCTGCTTCACTGTCGGGCTTTATCGGGCAAGTCTTGTTGGGCAAGACTCTTCGGGCAAGGCTCGTTGGCCAAGGCTTGTCGGGTAAGGCTGATCGTCTTGCAGGTGAATCTTTGTAGTTTATCAAGGGTCTGAAAGCTTTAGAGAGAGAGAGAGATTACAAAAGATGAATCGATACTACAACAAGTTTGAACAAGGTAGCAGAGCTATTACAAGGGTTTGAGTGAAGGTTTATCCCGCGAGGGATGAAGGCTTGTCCCGAGAGGGATGAAGGCTTGGGCTGACTACAGCTTCGTTTTGAAGGCAAATCTGGCTTTGAGCAGAGTTTGTGCTTGCATTTGTTTGTTTGATTGAGTGTCCTTATTCCTGGTTTCTCTTTCTTCTTATATAGACAACTCGGCTTGGTCTCCTGTAGCAGCAACCTTGCCCGAATGCGGTTTGAAGGGTGATGACTCATTAGCTATTTTACATGTACTGCCACCATAAAGTACTTTATGGGCTGTGTAGCTGGTCAGTCTATACCACTTGGCCTTTGGGTAGGTAAGCAAGTGGTCTTCATGAGCTGCACCAAGTCAGAAAAGGCCCTTTCCTGTTTTCTGGGCTTCGGCTGGGCTTAGGCCGGGCTCTTCCCTAGGCATCCCTTTGGGCCAGCTCCTTTCTTAAGCCCAAAGTTCAAGTTTTGATCCAAACAGTGCCCCCTTCAATTAATGTTAAGGTTGGAATCCCAGGCGCCATCATTGATTGAATATCCATATGCGTGTATATTAATCTTTTGGAACTTTGTGTTTTCTAGATAGAATGAAGGCAACCCTGTGCCTCTTGCTCTCCTCACGACCTTTGAACTATCCTCTGGGGGCTCTATAAATTCTGGCTCGGAACCTCTTCTGTCAAGCCATTAAATCCTCTTCGGCCTTCTCTTCCATCTTCCTCGAGCGTTCAGAAACTGAGAAATGGGTTCCTCAGGCTTTGAGTGGGGTTTCCTAAAATTCCCTTTTCGTGAGAAAAAGGGTTTTAATCAAATGACTGCTATCTCCAACACCCTTGGTCGAACACCCCGCTATCTCTAACACCCTTGGTCAGGCGGTTTCTTCTCGAAGGCTTGTCTTCCTGCTTGTTGCGGTGATAAGTCGGGCTTCACCATCACTTATGGTGATGGTCCTGTCTGAAGATCCTCTACCAGGCTCATGTTGGCCGCACAACCCGATCACCTGATCGGGTTCCATCCATGAAGACATCGGAAAATCAGCTGAAGATACCATTGCATCCAGAAGGAGAATTGATTGTAATACGTCGGCTTTGAATCTTTTGTAAATTTCATCAATTTGTCGAAATGAAATATACATTATCTCAGCAACTCTTGTCTTTCCATCTTCTTGAATGATTGATAAATATACACTGCACATTGATATCTCGAAGCTTGCTTTACCTTGCATCCTCTTCAACATAACAATCTCTAACATCCCACAACGTAGGACAATATTTCTTTAAGAATTTAACATCAATGGGATGTTTCTGCCTGTTTCCTTCAAGGTCCGCCAAGCAGTATCCTCCTCTATCCAAAACGCGATTAATAATGAAAGGACCTTCCCATGTCGGGCTCCATTTTCCAAAGCCCATGAGCTGAGCTCCTAGAGGGATGACTGTCTTCCAGACTAAATCCCCTTCCCTGAAAGACTTCATCTTTACCTTTTTGTTATAAGCTAGGGCAACGGCTTGCTTTCTTTCTTGAATCTGGTTCAAAGCTTCAATTCGGGCTACATCCAAGTCTTCAATTCCTTGACACATGGCTTCGATGTACTCTTCACTATGCAACCCAAATTGATTTTGAATTTTTACAGAACTTACATTGATTTCCACGGGGAGCACTGCATCTTGCCCGAAAGTTAAAGCATAAGGAGTTGTCCCTGTTCCTGCCCTCTTGGAAGTTCTGTATGCCCACAAAGTGTTCCCCAGATTTTCATGCCACTTTTCTGGACTATCAATCACCATTCTCTTGATAATGTTGACCAGGATCTTGTTGTTGGCTTCTGCCTGGCCATTTGATTGAGGGTAGTACGGACTGGACTGGATCATCTTTATTTTGTACTTACTTGCAAACTCCTCAACTTCTTTTGAAATAAAAGATGGTCCACGATCCGTCACTATAGTTTCGGGCACCCCATATTTGTACAGAATCTTGGTCTCGATGAAATTCTTGATTGTGGTTGAAGTTATGGATTTTACTGCTGATGCTTCCACCCACTTGGTGAAATAATCCGTTGCTACAATTATGAAGGTATGCCCTTTACTAGAAGCTGGATAGATTTGCCCGATGAAGTCCATCGCCCATCCTCTGAAGGGCCAAGGCTTGACCACTGGATTTAAAGGTACCGAGGGCATATGCTGGAGAGGTCCGTGCCTTTGACATTCTTCACAACCTCGGGCATAAGACTTGCAATCTTTTTCCATGTCGGGCCAGAAATAACCATACCTTCTAAGCAACCATCTCATCTTCGTTCCAGCCTAATGTGCTCCACATACTCCCTCATGTACTTTGGCCATTACCCTCATGGATTCTTCTTGGCCCAAGCATTTCAACAGTAACCCATCTAGAGTTTTCCTTAGCAAGTTCTTTGCCCATAAGACATACTTGGTTGCTTGTTGTCTATCCTTCTTGCTTGTAGGCGAAGAGGGATCCTTCAAATGATGAATGATAGGTGACCTCCAATCTTCTATCTCGGCTTCTAACACCATTATATCTAGACTGAATCCCCTTTCTAAGATGGAAGGAAGGTTTCTTCTTTGGATCTCGACATCTACCCCATATTTTCTCTCCTGTATTGGCACTCCTGAGGCTAGTTGTGCCATCTCGTTGGCCGCTAAGTTGGATCCCCTGGGAACATGATTGACCGATATCTCATAATCCCAGAAACTCAATAATTGCGTAGCTGCCAAGTAATACCCCGCCATGGTAATATGTCTGCACTTGAACTCCTCATTTAACTGGTTTATTACCAACTCTGAATCCCCAAAGACCTCTACCTCTACTGCCCCCAGATCCATCAAGATTTCCAGACCAATTATTAAGGCCTCATACTCTGCCCGATTATTAGTATTTCCTTGGTAGTCCAGGAGAAATGAATAATAATGATAAACCCCCTAGGGTTTACAATTACAATCCCCGCTCCTGAAGCCTTCTGAGTGTGAGATCCATCGAAATACAACTTCTAATGAGTGATCCAGAGACCAGCTACTCTTCTTATCTCTTGCTGGACCCAATCTTCTTTGCCCGAAATATCTTTTCTTGGCGGGATCCAAATGCTAGTAACCTCCAGGCTTCCTGGGATATTGATTACCTCACTTTGAGATTCTTGGTGCTCGGCCAGGAAGTCAGCAATTGCTTGGCCTTTGACTGCCCTTTGGGGTATGTACTGAAAACTGAATTATGATAATGCTAGAATCCATTTCCCAATCCTTCCTGTGAGCATTGGCTTTGACAACATGTACTTTATCACATCTGTCTTGGCGATGATGTGCATGTGACAAGGTAACATGTAATGCCTTAATTTACTGGCAGTGAAATATAAAGCCAAGCATAATCTCTCTACTGGCGAATACCTTGTCTCTACCTCGGTCAGAATTCTACTGAGGTAGTACACTGCCTGCTCATTCCCGCCTTCATTATTTTGGGCTAGCAAACTCCCGATTAACTTTTCTGAGGCAGAAATATACAGCTTCAAGGGTTTTTCCCTTTGAGGTGGCACCAACACTGGTGGAGAAGTCAAATAGGCCTTGATGCTGTCAAAGGCCTGTTGGTGTGGTGGTCCCCATTGGAAGTTCTCTTTATCTTTCAATCTTAGTAAAGGAGTCAGCGGCTGGATCTTGCCTGCTAAATTAGCAATGAATCTCCTCAAGAAGTTAATTTTGCCCAGTAGCCTCTGGAGTTGCACCTTGTTGGTGGGTGAAGGTGACTCCATTATTGCCCGAGATTTGTTCTTGTCCACTTCTACACCTTTTTGATGCACCAGGAATCCCAAGAAGTTGCCCGCTCTTACTCCAAACGCGCACTTCTTTGGATTCATATTTAATTTGTGGATCCTCATCCTTGCTAATGTTTGTCTGAGATCTTCCAGATGCTGTTCTTATGTCTTGGACTTCACCACTATGTCATCGATGTATACTTCCATGCTCTGGCCAATTAGATCGTGAAAGATGGCATTCATTGCCCTTTGGTAAGTTGCACCAGCATTCTTGAGCCCAAATGGCATGACCAGATATTCATATGCCCCCACATGACCGGGACACCTAAAAGCTGTTTTGTGTATATCTTCTGGAGCCATCTTTATCTGATTATACCCAGCATTCCCATCCATAAAAGATAGGACTTTATGTTTTGCTACTGTATCTATGGATAAATCGGCCATGGGCATGGGATACTCATCTTTTGGTGTAGCGCCATTAATATTTCTGTAATCCACACAACATCGTACTGCTTTTGTTACAGCTTTTAAAACGGGTACAATGTTGGCCAACCACTCCACATATTTGGCTGGTCTGATAAAGCCAGCTTTTACTAGCCTTTCAATCTCTTATTTGACATTTTCTTCTATCTCATTTGACATCCTTCGTGGTGCTTGCTTAACAGGTTTGTATCCCTCCTTGATGGGCATTCTATGTTCCACCAAGGCTGAATCTAAACCTGGCATCTCAGTATAATGCCAACCAAAACAGTCTTTGAACTCTTGCAAAAGGTAAATAATCTTTGCCCGATCA